CTCCGGCGTCCTGCGACCGCCGCCGGCGCAGCGCCAGGGTTCGCGTCGACCTGCATCGCTGCCAGCAAGGCGCCAGGGCCTGCGCCGGCGTCCACCCCCGTCGCCTCGGCGGCAGGGTCCACGTCGGTCTCCATCTCGAAGTTGTGCTCGAAGTCCTGAGTGGCGCCTGTCGCCGGCAGACGTGGCCGCCGAGGCAGGGGCGCGGGGCGATCGGCGGAGGGGCGGGAGGAGGGTGCGGGGTGGGAGAGTGGAAGGGCGGGTGAGGAGGGAGGCGGCGCGGGCAGTGGCTGCGCGCGACTTGATCCTCCTCCTCCTCCTCCTCCTCCTCCTCCTCGTCGCCCTCCCCATCCTGATCCTCCTGATCCTCCTCCCCCCCTTTCCTCCTCCTCTTGCTCCTCTTCTTCCTCCTCCTCCACTTCCTCCTCTTCTTCCTCCTCCTCCTCCTGAATCTCCTCATATCACTCCTCCTTGTCCGCCTCCTCATGCGTAATCGCCCTCATTCTCCAGGTGCGATCCCTCTTCGTCGTTTTCTTCCTCCTCATCATCCTCTACCTCGTCATCGACCTCCTCCTTGTACTTGTCCTCCTGCTCCTCCTCCTCCTGCTCGCCGTGCTCCTTCTTGTGTTCCTCGTACTTCTCCTCGTGCTTCTCGCCCTCCTCCTCGTGCTCCTCGTCTTCCTCCGCTTCGCAGTGCTCGTCTTCCTCTTCTCCCTCCTCCTCCTCCTCGGAATGCTCGTGTTATTCTCGCATCTCCTGCGCCTCGCGGGCGTCGCAGCAGTTTTCTCCCAATCCCTCGCGTGGCCTCCCCTCGGCGGGCACTTTATGCAGGCGTTCGCTCAGGCAGTCATCGATGAGGACGGGGGAGCTGTTCTTCCGAGGCCTACGAGCCGCGCTCTACGAGCTGCTCGTAGGTCGGCCCGCCCGCTGCTCCTCCCCGTAGTCATTGCGGGTGGCCCGCGGTTCACGCGCGCGCTGCCAACAATGGTGGCTTCTGCAGTGAGAGGACTCGCCATCCCCGATGGGCCTGTCTGGCCCGACATCCACCCGTTCACTCCGCCGTCAGCCGCCTGGTGCGACCACTGCTGGTTGGACGAGTGCGAGGTGAGCTACGCCGTGCTTCCTCGGGCCGTTCGGCACGGGGGCGTCTTGCTGGCGCCGCCTGAGTCCTTCCGCTCGGCCGACAGTCTCAGTCTGGCGGAGGCGGAATGATTCGCGGGGCTGGTTGGCCCCATCCAGGTGGTCAGCTTGCCCTTGCTCGGCGCACCGCGCCCGCTGAGCGCGACCGCTCCCGTGCTGGTGGTCGGCTTAGAGGTCTCGGATATGGATCTCGAGGCTCCCACCCCTCTGGAGGATGGAGACATCGACGGGGCTGTCCCGTTCGGGGCGGCCCGCGGCCGAGCTCATTGGCCGCGCCCTAAGGGGGTCGTCGCCGCGCGGCCATCCACGGCCATCGCGAGCCATGGCCATCCACGGCCACCTGCTGCCTCGTCGCCCTTGGCGAGAGCCACGTGGCCATCCGCGGCGCGGCGCCCGCCGAGGCCGCTCCGGGCGCAGAGGGGGCCATCCTGTATCAGTCCGCGGAAGAGTTCGGGGCGGGCGGCCCAGTGGGCGACGCCGAGGCCGAGGGCCTCCCTCTTCTGGCGCGGGCCCCGCCGCTGCCAGGGGTGCCTCCCCTGGCGGCGCGGAGCCGTGAAGGCGCGCATGGCCCGTCCGCGGGCGGGAGGGGCCATCGCCGCGGCTCTCGACGAGGGGGCGCCGATGACTCGCGCGGAGGTCCGGCGTGAGATCCAGCGTCTGATGGCTGTTGACGCGGCCTAGGCAGCGGCTTCCCCCCCTGGGGGCCCGCGCCGACCCACAGGGGGCCCGCTTCGAGGCGCCGCAGTTGCTTGCCGACGAGGCGGCTCGCGTAGGCATCCCTCGCGGGGACCTCCGGGCGATGCTCGCGCAGCCGCCTCCCCCCCCGCAGCGGGTCCAGAGCCGCGCCGCGCGACCGCGCCGGCTTTGGTGGCGGGTTGAGGGAAGGGCAGGCCAGGGAGTGCACGCCCTCCGCTCCTGCCACCCTTGGGCCCGCTGCCGCTCCCCGCGCCCCGAGGGCTCGCCTGGCCCGACGGGTTCGGCGGCTTCTCCGAGGGGGGGCGCCGCGGGAGACGAGCCGTGTGAGCAGCGCTCCCGAGTGCATTTTGGACTTGGCGTTGCCGCGCCTGCGGGGGCCCTTCCGGCGGTCGGGGCCGCCGAGGGCGGCGGCGCATCCCCTGCTGGGGGCGCCCAGCGACCCTCTGCGCTCGACCGCCCATGCGGGGGCCGAGGGAGGAGCTGCTGGAAGCTCAGTGCGCGCGTCGCAGGTGATGGCGGCAAGTACGGGTGCAGCACGGGCCACAAGTGAGATCCATTCTGAGGGCAAACCTCGCGCGTGCTCTGGGGGTGGAGCTGTCCGCGATCACTCCGAAGGTAATGTTTCAGTACTTTCGCGAGCACAGCCCGCTGGGGGCTCGCCTGGCGACGCGCGAGATCCTCGCGCAATCCGCGTGGCCCAGCGGAGTTGTGGCGCGCGTCCGAGGGCGAGGATGCGGGCGGGGTGGGGGCCCGAGTAAGCTGCCAGTCCATGTTCATCGACCCACTGGCGGGGGGCCGCGGCGACCTGGAGGCCTCCCGGTTCCTCGCGGGGGGGGGGGGGTTCGGCTGCCCCCCCCCCCGTCGGCGGACCCCCGTTGGCTCTCGGCGCAGGGCGATTGCGATGGCTTTCTTTCGATCGCGCCCGGGTGCCGAGCGGGCGGCGGGGCGTGCGAAGGCCCCGCTGCGGGGCGTGCGCTGGCCCAGGTTGGGCAGAGTGCTCGCTGCCCTCTGGCTTCAGTCTCTCGTGCCTCTCTCCGCGCGCCGGTTCGTGGTGCGCCTGCTCCCGGGGAGGGTTTCCCCCGCGATCCCTCTCCCCTCGCGTGCGTCGGGTGGGTCTCGGGAGCGTTGGCGGCTGGGGCGCGCCGCGCGCGCTGGCGCAGCGCGCTTGCGGTGGCCGTCAACTGGCTGGCCCAGGGGGGGGGCTCGAGCCTTCCGAGGCTCGCGCGCGTGCAACGGCCCCGCCCTGCCAGGAGGGCGCGCGAAGTCGCTTCGTGCGTTTCTGCGGGAATCTCCGCTGAGGAATCCTTCCTCGAGGATCCCTTTGTGAAGAACGCTTGATTCGGAGTCCTTAAAACAGATCCCATAGCCAGGAGTGCTTAGTGAGGGGTCCCGTGAAACAAAGTATTCTCAGAAAGGAGCCCTTAGGCAGGAATCTCTAGGAGGGGGGCCTTAAGATGGAGTCTTTAGTAGGAGCTCGTCGAGGGTTTCTTATGGTAGAATCTCTAGTGCGCAGTCTTTTAGAAAGAAGCCCTTAGTACGGAAACCTTTAAGGAATCCTTAATTCGCATGTCGGCATAGGCAATTCTCAGCGAGGAATCCAGAGTAAGGACTTCTTGGCTGGGAATCCTTCACGCGAAACTTTTATGAAGGAAGCTTTAGGAAGGAATCGTGAATGACAGATCCTTAAGAAAGAATCCAGAGTGGGGACTACATTATGAAAAATCATTGGAAGCCCTGGCTCTGACATAGTTGATATGGGATCTTCAAATAAGAACCTTGGGTAAGGCATCCTTGGGGAGGATTCCTGAATGAGGAATCATTGGGAAAGGAGTCTTGAATGGGGAATCCCGAACAAGGAATTCTTTCACGGAATCCTGAGTAAATAATCTCTTGCAAGAAACCCAGAAGACGGAGCTTTTAGTGAGGGGCCAGTGGTAAGGAATCCTGATTACAGGTTTCCTTCATGAGGGGCTCTTGGGAATGAATTCGCATTTCGGAGTCCTTAGCGAGGAGTCTTTTTCGAGAAATCCTCAGTGGGGAACCCTTACTGAGGAATCCTTTGTAAGGCCTTCATAGTGAGGAGTCCTTTTTGAAAAATGCGGAGTAATGAATCCTTAACAAGGACTCCTTGGTGCGGAAATCCTGGTGAGGAGTCTTTAATGAGGATTGCTTGGGGAGGAACCCCTAGTACGAAGTCCTGGGTAAGGAATCGTTATTCAGGAATGCTTAACACGGAATCCTTGGTGAGCAACTTTCAGTAAGGAAAAGTCACCAATAATTGTTCGTACGAAAAGAATTGTGAATTCGGAGTCCTTGGTAAGGACTCCTTCTCCTAGCTATGCACTCCTTATCAAGGAATCCCAGGTGGGGAGCTCTTAAGAATCAGCAGGAATCCTTCGAAGTCCGTAGGAATCCCTACAAATCCTCCGAGATCATCAGATGCTTCAGAAATCACAGGACCCCCCAGGATTCCCAAGGAATCCATCGGAATCCAACGGAACCCGTGGGAATCCCCAAATAAACGCCCAAACCGGTCGGGCCTTCATCGTGCCTGGTGCTTGAGGATGAGGAGGAGGAGCAGCAGGTGGATGAGGAGGAGGAGGAGGAGGAGGAGGAAGAGGAGGAATAAGTGGGTGGAGGTGGTGGAGGAGGGGGAGGAGGAAAAGGAAGAGGAGGAGGAGGAATAGGAGGAACAGGAGGAAAATGAGAGGAGGAGGAAGGAGAGGAGAGGATGGAGGAGAGGATGAAGGGAGGAGGAGGAGGAACACGAAGACCAGGCGGGCGGGCCCACGCCCCCCCCCGTTTCTACACGTCAGCCTCCTCTTCCTCCTCATCCTCTTCCTCCTCTTCCTCCTCCTCCAGCTCCTCCTTTTTTTTCCCCCTCTCCTCGCCCTCCTCCCACTTTTCCTCTTCCTCTTCCTCCCTTCTGTTGCCTTTCTCCCCCGACCCCTCCTCATCGCCCTCCTCCTCCTCCTCGCCCTCCTCCCTCCCTCCCTCCCTTCCTCGCTCTTCCTTCTCATCCCTGCCTCCCCCCGCAGTTGCCCTCCCCTCCCCTCCTCGCCTCTCTTCGCCCCTCTTCGCCCCTCCTCGCCGTCCCCGCCTCTCCCCCCGCCCGCCCTGCGCACCCTGGCCCCCCCCCTCCCCTCCCGGATGTCTGCCGTCCCAAGGTGGCGGCCATCACCAGCGACCATGTCCTGGACCACAGGCGCGGTCTCCAACCTCGCGAG